AAGCGATAAGTTCGAAAGGTATATCGTAAGGATCGTCGTACACGTACTTAAGAGAATGAGAAACTAATTACGAGGACGGTCAATCGAGGCTAGAAAAATAAAAAAGTAAAAAATTTCGGCAATACCATACGACTCTACGTGAACTCGAATTGTGTTTGATGTATTAATTCTATACAAATAATCACTTTTTTTTGTTTCTCCTGTGACGCACGCGAGTATAATCTGTGAATAAAAAATTGCGCGAATATAGAATATATGTGGTATAATAACTAAAGTATACTCGGTTACAACAATCTTGTATGCATTTTCATAAAATATCTGCAAATAAAATTGGAGAAATATGGTAAAACACTTAACATACTGTGGGCATAAATTATTCTTGTGGATTATAACGTAATATATTGCAGATTTACGATTATGTTCATTTTCCTTCAACATTTATTACTATAATTTAATTTACAAATGACTAATTAAAAGGTGTTATAAATTTAGCAATGAAATATGTTTGTAGATGTGAATCAAAACACATCTGAATGCCACGAAAATGAAATTATCGTCAAAAATTAACAAAAATTGGCTTTTCCATGGACAAATTGGGTTCGGCATTAATTAGCGTGATCAATAAATGTAAATGTATAGAATGCCGTGCCTTCAATTAAATATAGCAAAAGTTAATTGGATGCACAATTTACAAATTATGAAATATTATGAGATATAATTATGAAATATTGAATGTCAAAAATGTGTTCGTAACCCGTGCGTCGCTGTTTGTTGCGAACTCATGTAATTCTTCTATTAATTCGTAATACTCATAATTATATAAATTTATAATTTATTAATCTTTATACTAAAACTATCGGAATTGTTATGATTTTGCTATAATATATTATAGTTTTACTTAATATGCTAAATAAAATTTCTACTTTTTTTGTATTCAGACAAATATTTGCTCAGATAAATTCGAAAAAAGAAGATACGTGTTTCCAAAGAGTTATAGGGACCAAGAGTTCGTTTCTCCTGGATACGTAAATTTATCTATGGCATGACGAAATGCCGAAAAATTTCGATGACCCGTTTAAAAAAAAGAAATAAAACGGACTGTTTTGAAATTCACTCACTGCGTCACAACTTCACAGCCTGAGAGAAAAACTGTAAATTGAAATCACGATCTCATTTAACTGAAAGAGGTACACGTATTGCTTTAAGAAATAATAACGTTGTATGATGATATTTAATGATTTTTCAAAACAGTATATTACAAAATAAAACATTTTCGACCTCTTTCGTTCCTTATTTATTTCGTTTATTTCTCTATTTAGTCTTTAAAAATTCATCCGCTCTCATTTTTTTATGAGGTCAATAAAATAATCGATATTCATATGGTCAGTTAAAAATATCAGTATAGTTTTTTCTCATTTACGAGGATACTTTTTATTACATTTTTCATACACATTATTGAAGAGATAATTTTAATCTTTTTTTCTTACATTTCTCTCACTCTCTCTCTCTCTCTCTC